CTCAACAAAAAGGTGGATAAAGAAAGTGCATTATATTTGCACAATGAAATATTACTCAGCTGTTTAAAAATGATGAAATTTGCAGGTAATGGAGTTAGAATGAATGAATGGATGGATGGAGCTAGAAAAAAGTCATCCTGAGTGAGTTAATCCAGACCCAAAATGACACACATGGTACGTACTCATTTATGACACACATGGTACGTACTCATTTATGTGTAGATATTAGTTGTTATCAATAAACAGGCTATAATCAACATAACCAGAGGTTTGGTACAGCGTAAGGGGCTTGATGAGGGGATGGATCTACCTAAGAAGGGAAAATAGAATAGATAGTTATAGAAGGACAGTAGAGGGGACTGGAACGGAAGGATCAAACAGGGAGTAGAAAGGAAGAAAGGTGTAAGGAAGGGAATGCGGTGAGGGGCAGCTAAAACTACAGGTGATTTGAGGGGCTGTTAGAGACCTAATACAGTAAAAGCTTCTTAAAACATATACATATGTGAAAGAAATCAAAATGGAATAACAAAGTAACAGGGGAGACAAAGCTCCAACTAGACATCTCTTGCCACCAAATGAAACCTCCAGTTCTGGTTATGAATTATATCTAATCAAATTGTTGGCCAAGAGGACTCTAAGAAAATTTTCAAACAAACTAGACTATCACCAAAACTATTGGTTGCTCTTCACCAACTAATGGTAAGGCTTTATTGCTGAAGACGATGCCTACACAACTCATTGAACATGGAGAAGTGGAGCTGGTGCCTACCTAGAGCCTTCACTCTTACTGACTAGTATTTCGAGTACTTTAAGGTACTCTGTGCACTAACAAAGGGGAAAGGCAAACAAAACACAAGCTATCGACCCTACAGTCTACAATGATGACCTACCTTAAAGATGTTCTGCTGCAATAGTGGCAAAAAGCTTGTGGGAGTAACCAGGTAATATCTGGTTGGATTTAAGGACCACTCTATGAAATGTAACCCATCCCTGACAGTGCTTGGGATGGCTAAGAAGCTGAGACTAGATAGGCTATGGGCCAAGGGAAAACTCAAATACTACTATTTTGCTAAAGGAACATAGCGAAGAAGTGACTCCAAAAGACATTCTTCTGTATTCATACATCAGTGTCTTGCACAGTCATCATTAAGGAAGCTTCCTCCCACAATAGATAAAACCAAATGCAAAGGCTCACCACTGGACAACATGCAGAAAGTGAGGTACCTTAAAACACACATTGCCAAACAGGATGTCTTCAACAAATTCTTCCACTCAGAGATCAGGGAACTTTGTGGAAGAGGAGGCAGAAAGATTATAAGAGCAAATGGGAATGGAAGACACCAAGGAAACAAAGGCCAACAGAGCAAGCACACACAGGAACTAGCAGAGACTGTGGCAGAATGTATAGAACCGGCATGGGTCTAATCCACACGGGGTCCCAGCTGAGAGGGGAAGTGGACACAAGCCCCCATCCCTAAGCAAAGCTATCTCCAGTTGATAACCACTTGGAAAGGAAAAATTAGTTTTCTCCAACTGGATCCCATTGAGTATACAAACCAGACTTAAGGCCAGATCCCATGCCCACAGTAGATGGTTAATACAAAACAAACTCAGTTTTTTAAAGTTGTCTCATAAGGCTGTATCTGTACAACTTTTTTACATTACAGGTCTTCTTCTTCTATATTATGGTTACATATTCTGTGGTTTTATGGGATTTCTGTGTGTACAAATGAGTGTGTCTCTTTTGTACATGATTCTTACGCTTTTTGTTTGACTCTTTTTGTTTGCTTGTTTGGGCCAATTCTGTTTTGTTTTTTAAGTTGTTTGTTTGTTTTCTAACAAGGTGGGGAGGAGATGGAAGGAGTTTGGGGAGGAGAAACAGTAATCAGAATATATGAAAAAATTTATTTTCCATAAATAGATACAACATAATTGGAAAAAAAATCACTAACGTCAACTCTACCTTAATGCTTTTACAGAGGACCTAAGGTTGGTTCTTACTGATCACGTGGCAGCTCATACCACCTGTAACTTCCATCCCAGGAGATATGAAAAACTCTTCTGGCCTCTCTGAGATATTTCTTAGAAGTGGTAAACATAAACTCACACAGGTAAACACACCAACACATAAAAAAAATAAAATGAGTAAAAAAGAGCAAATAAAAAAGACAAAAGTATGACTAGAGATAGGAAATTTAATAATAATAACAGACAAAATCCATCAGAAAGATATTAAAAATTACAAATATAACATTGAACAGAGATCATTGAAACAAAAAACAGCAATTTATAAATAGACAAATCAACAAAAACTAGATAGAGATATTAGAGTGACATATTTAAAAATAGACAAAACAACCAGGTAGAATATTGAAAAAAATGTAAGACATTAACAAACCTGCAAACATGTTAGATACAACATACATCTATAAAGACTTTTAAGCATTTCTACTAAGAAACTACAGTTTTCTCAAGTTCACGAAGAAATTTCCCAGGATATATGATTCAGCACAACAATAAATAAGCCTTGATAAATTCTAACAAGATTGAAATCCTCTAAAGTAGCTGGGCCTGGTGGTGCATGCCTTTAATCCCAGCACTCAGGAGGAAGAGACAGGTGAATCTCTGTGAGTTCAAGGCTAGCCTGCTCTACGGAGTAAGTTCCAGGACAGCCAAAGATAGGTTTTGAGAAACCATGTCGAAAGAAAGAAAGAAAGAAAGAAAGAAAGAAAGAAAGAAAGAAAGAAAGGAAGGAAGGAAGGAAGGAAGGAAGGAAGGAAGGAAGGAAGGAAGGAAGAAATCCTCTTTTCGGACCCTCTGACCATAAAAGAATGTAAAACAAAAAACACCTGAAAAATAATTTAAGGAAAAACCAGAATGGCCTTAAATATGGCAATGACATTTTACAGACAATATCAAAGAATAATTGATGAGCTGGGTGGTGGTAGTGCATGTTTTTAATTCCAGCACTTGGCCAGGCTGCTCTGCAGAGTGAATTCCAGGACAGCCAGGGCTACACAGAGAAGTGCTGTCTCAACATTCCCCCTACCCACAAAAAAAGAATAGCTGATGAAAGAAACAGTTGATAATTAATTTAATTAATTAATTTTTTTAAAGCTTCTGCTCTGTGAAAGACAATGTCAAGAAACATAAGCTACAGACTAAAAAAAAAATTGCAAAAGATATGATTTTTAAAAGTCTGCTATCCAAAACATACAGAGAGGTCTTAAAAATTAACAATAAAAATCAAATAACCTAATTGAAAAAATTGTAAGACAATCTATGCCCATGCCTATACATAGAATACATATGCACACATGAAAATATGTTCAACATTATAAACTGATGAGGATATGAAAGATTAGAATTCTCATTGTTGGTGGGAATGCAAAATGGTGCAGCCAGTTGGGAAGACAATTTAATCCTCTTCTAAAATTAAACAATAGCTTGGCATGGCAAATCAAACCTACAATCCAAGCTCTGGGAGATTGATGCAGGAAGATCTTTCATTTGAGGCCAGCCCAGGTTATATAGTGAATTCCAGATCAGTCTAGTCTACGTAGTAAGACCCTGTCTGAAAATATTAATAACAATATAGTAATGATGTGGGAGTGTCATATATCAATCTGTTGATTTCATTGGTTAAGTTATAATAAACCAACTGCTTGGCCTCAGCTTAGAACATAGATGGGAGGAGTAAACAGAATAGAATTCTGGGCGGAAGAGGAAGTGAGGTCAGACTCTGCTCTGCTCCCAGAGAGAGCCGACAGCTCGGGAGCAGAGACGCCATGCTCAGCCCTCCCAGGTAGACGCAACGATGGACGGAGGCTAGAATCTTCCCGGTAAGCGCACCTTGGGGTGCTTACACACATTACTAGAAATGGGCTAGTCCAGGTGCGAGAATTAGCCTGTAAGGGCTAGAGTTCATGGGCCAAGCAGTTCTTAAATGAATACAGTTTGTGTGTTGTTATTTCGGGCATGAGCTAGCCAAGCGGCCGGGGTGTTGGGGACGCAGCCCTGCCGCTCCTATTTCAACATAGTAAGATAACATGTCTGAAAATATTAATAACATAGCAAAATGAGCCTGTCTGAAAATATTAATAATATTTTTAAACTAGCAATACATAAAAAACAGCGATTTCAATTTCAGTCCTTGATATTTTACCACGTCAAAAATGTATGACCAGGGCTCACCTGGGTGGCACTTATACTGCAGTTGAAATGAAGTAGAGAACATTAGCATAACTGCTGCAAGCATGACAGGCATTTTTGTGAAAGTCATATTTTTTCAAAATCTGTGCTATGTATTGAAAGTCATATTTTTGCAAAATCTGTGCTATGTATGAGCAAATATCTTATAATTAAGCCCGTTGTTTTGTATACTGATTTTTTAGTGAAAAATTTTCTAGGAAACAAAAATGTTCAAAACTCTTAAAATATGTTCACCCAAAAATCTGCACAAAGACATTTATAGCAGCATTATTCGTGAGTGATAAAACTTGGAAGCAACAAAATTTCCTCAATAGGATGAGTAGGTAAATAAATAAATGTGGTATCCATAAACAAAGAACTGTGAGTAAAAAACAGGAACTTTTTCAGTCATTGTTCTCTTGATTAGCACTGGTTCCTCACTATCAATTGCTTAAGTACATATGGAAATGAGTAAAATGGTTCATAAATAACAATCACTAAAAAAAAAAATAACAAGAAATGCAAACCAGACTATTCTAGCCCCATGGAAAGGCTAGAACAGTTAGGATCTCATCTGTGAAACGGAAGTAGGAAGTAGGCCCTGTTGAGTGCAACACGTACAGTCCGGCGTCTCTCTAGAAGAGCTAGACGGAGGGCGACATAGCGGCTGCTGATGCTGCCTACGCTGCCGACGAGCCCTAAACAGCAATGCCAGAAAGTCAGTCGATCTTCAGGTCAGTCAATAGCTTTTCCTAATACCACCAAGTTTAAAGACTTGTTTTCAAATGCCTAAAAGAAAGTCAAGAAAAATGCCCCGACTTTCAAAAGCAAAGAGCAGGAGCTCCACGCCCTCAGGTGTGGAGATATGCGTTCCTAGCCCCTCAGTTAAGAAAAGGAAAATGGCGTCTGGCCTTCAAACTAAGAGCCCCAAGAAACCGCGTCAAACCAAGAAGGGTCACCAGGATATACTAACACAGAAAGTAGCCACCGAGGAACCCAATGAGGTTTTACTGGACCTTGGTGAGAAAGTCGCAACTGGTAGAAATTCACGAAGAAACCCACAGGCCATGGCAACGCGTTCAGCTGTTGCCAGAAAAAGCCAGGCTTTGTCTAGCCCTACAGTGACTACAACCATGGAGGGCCAGTCTTCATCTGGCCCGGTGCCAAAAACCATGTCCACATACCTGACTGGTGGCAGAAAGAGCCAATCTTCACCATGCCTAATGACCAGAGCCATGGCTACACGCTTGTCCATCGCCAGAAAAAGCCAGCCTTTGTCTAGACCAGTGACTACAACCATGGACGAATGTTCGTCTGTTGACAGAAAGGGCCAGTCTTCGTCTGGCCCGGTGCCAAAAACCAGGTCCACGTACTTGACTGGTGGCAGAAAGGGCCAATCTTCACCATGCCTAACGACCAGAGCCATGGCTACGCGCTTGTCCGTTGCCAGAAAAAGTCAGTCCTCAACTGGTCCAGTAACCAACTGGTCGCAGTTGGCTGTTACCAACAAAGGTCAATCTTCATCTTGCCCCATGACCACAGACCTGGCCCCACCTTTAACTATTGCTACTACAGGACAATCTCCATCAGGGGATACAAGTAACATAAAACAAACAGTTACAGAAACGACTAACAAGGAGACAAGTGCTCCAGAAAAACCTGATGAGAACAGGCCAAGATGTACTGGCAAGAGAAGGCCTTCTGAAAGGCGTTTCAGTGTAAGGCTGGTGGAGAGTTCCTCCAGATTCAGAGATATCGTGGTGAGGAAGCAAGATGGCTTCACCCACATCTTGTTATCCACAAAATCATCAGAAAATAACTCACTAAATCTAGAAGTGATGAAACAACTTCAGGATGCTCTCAACAAGGCTGCTGTTGATGACAGCAAGCTGGTACTTCTCAGCGCAATTGGCAATGTCTTCTGCTTTGGACTGGACTTTACTTATTTTATACAGCGCCTCACAGCGAACAAGAAAAGAGAAAGGGCTAAAATGGCAGAATCGATCAAAAATTTTGTGAATACGTTCATTCAGTTTAAGAAGCCTATTATTGCAGCAGTCAATGGCCCAGCCCTTGGCCTGGGAGCATCTATACTGCCTCTTTGTGATGTGGTTTGGGCTAATGAAAAGGCTTGGTTTCAAACCCCCTATACCACCTTTGGACAGAGTCCAGATGGCTGTTCCAGCTTTACATTTCCCAATACTATGGGAGAAGCCTCTGCAAATGCAATGTTGCTCAGTGGGCAGAAACTGACAGCACAGGAAGCTTGTAAGAAGGGCCTGGTCTCCCAGGTATTTTGGCCACAGACCTTCAGCCAGGAAGTCATGATTCGAATCAAGGAGCTCGCCTCATGTAATGCAGTTGTCCTGGAAGAGTCCAAAGCCCTACTGCGCTTTACCACCAAGATGAAGTTGGAGGAGGCCATTGAGAGGGAGTGCAAAGTGCTGGAAAATATTTGGGGCTCTGCAGAGGGGATAGAGGCCATGTTAAAATACTTGCAGAAAAAAATCGAGTACTGATTGCTAGGACTGTCACCGATGACCCTGGGACTGGTTTAAGCAGAACTTTAGAATATCACTGGTTCCCAGTTAGAAATACCTACCCTTAAAGTCTGAAACAAGTTCACCTATATCTCATGACTAAAAGTAGGAGTGGAACACTCAAGATATCTATTACCAACAAGTTTTAAAGACCTATGACTATAAAATATCTAACTGCAAAGTAACTTTAATCAAATATCCTTATATCCATATGCAAGCAAATATAAAACAGGAACGGTGAGCGCTTGTTGGGCTAGTACTATATTAAAATATCTTCCATTCTTCGGAGGTAACAAACTCTGAAATTATTTTTTTTTCATTTTTTCCCTTTTGATGTGATATTTGCTTTCTTTACTTATTTTCCTTCCAGAACAAAGAATCTAAAGGGATATTAGCCAGAATCACATCCCTTTCTAAATAGAGATACATAAAGATCTGAGACATTTCTTTTGTCTCCAGGAGGAGAGGTAAAAATACCCTAGGAATGAGAAATTCTAAAACAATTAAAAAGGAAAAAACACTTTCAGGAAAAATATTTCTGGTGAAAAATCTCAACATGCACCTATGGTTCATGCTGAAATCTCAGCTTGTTCTTCCTGTGTTATGTACGTCCAGCTCTTACTTAGCATTAAGAGACCTCTGTCTCTTGAAATAAGCTTACACTGCAGGATCCGTGCATAACTGAGTAGCGTAAATAGGAATGGCAAAGTTAAAAGCTAGTCCTAGAATGTTTTCAATCTATAAGTTAGTCCTAGTGCGTTTTAAACATGCCTCGCCATTTCAAACGTGAACTGCATCTTGTTGCTTGGTGGAAAGCATTCCTTTATACAAAATTTTGCTTTGCTATTTGCAAATATGATTGATGTATGGCACCAGAAAAAAATTAAATTTATAGGATATAATTGTGGGTTCACTTAGGATATATTTTATTAAATAAGGGAGAAATTCTTTTTACATTCTGTTAGTTACTGTGAAAATAAATACACAGTTTTGGTTTGCTATATGCAGATAATGTTGGTGTATTGCACCAAAAACAGCTTTATAAATATATACTTATATATATTTATAAACTATAATTTTTGTTTCCCTTAGAATAAATTAGGTAATATAAATAATAAGGTAAAATTATTTTGCACACAATAATTATAGAACTTTTAATTACTTTGTATTTGATATTTAATGTTCTCGGTATTAGCTGTAATATATCTACCATATACTAAGTACTATACTATGTCTAAGAATTCCCTATGAAAATATACAGGTTCATTCCTTTCAGAACTAGAGACTGATTCCTAACCACAAAAAACTACAGTTAGACTACTGACATTGCAATAATATTGAATGTATGAAAAAAGAAACAAAACTTAAACCTCATTTCTTAATGAGGTTTATACTTGGAACTGCCTGACTATTCAGAAAGCTAAACAATATGGAAATCTGCCCTTACCTTGGATTGACTGGTACCACATTCTTTACAATACTTTTTAGATTTATTTTATTATTTTATGTACATGGGTGTTTTGGCAGAATATTATATACGTCTGTGCAACACATGTATGGCTAGCACCTCAAGTCAGAAGAGGGCATTAGATTCCCCTGGGACTGGAATTGCAGATGGTTGTGAGCTACCACATAGGTGCTGGAAATCAAACCTGGGTTCTTTGCAAGGACAAAAAGTACTTTCAACCACTAAGTCATCTCTCCAGCCCCAAAGTACCACATTTTTATTACTGCAAACTACTTTACCATTTTGTAGTTCAAACTACATAAAACTAGTTAACCTATAAAGTTTTATAAAATAAATATTCAGCTGTGAAAACTGATTACAAATAATATCTTCTGTTTTTTTGCCTATGTACCCTAGAATGACCTCCAATTCTTCATGAGCCAAGACAGGCCTTCAGCTCCTGATCTTCCTGCCCCTACTTCTCCAGTGCTATGGTTACAGACATGTCTCACAAATTTGAATCTACACACATGAAAAAAATGGTATAAAATGTTACATACCCACTGTACCAATGTTCACTTCCTGCCTATAATATACTTAAAAATGGCCTTGAGATTCCTCCTAAATTGGCTTCAAGAAGTATTGTTTATATAAATTATATACATAATATAGAATCATATATTGAATATATTATTAAATAAAATTTAAGTATATATTAATTCATTTCAAATTATAGCAGTAAAACAATTATATATCAGCATTAATATTTTATGAGAACAAATTTGTTATAAAATAATAAATACATTAGAATTGGAATTAAGTTACAATTTTGCAAATATGTTTAACATCTGACTTAAAATATCTATGCTGTCATATTTGCTTGTGCATCCCCTCCGTTAGAATGTGGATATTTTTGTTGGTGGTGGGGTTTTTTTTTTTTTTGATTGAGGACATATGAAATCTTGTCTTCTCATAAACATGTAGTTGGAAAAGCTATGGGAAAAACCTTTCAGGTAATTGTAGCAGTCCTTTTTGCTGCCAAACTTTATTTTGTTGTATTTGATGTTTTGTCTTCTCTCATATATTACAACCCAAACGCAGTTTCCCCTCCCCTCTTCTCCTCAGTCTTCCCCCCACCCACCACCCCGAAGTTCCCCTCTTCCCCAGATGAACCCCACCAAGATCTCCTCTCAGACAAGAGCAGACCTCCCAGGGACATTGACCAAACACAGCACAACAAGCTACAATAAGATCAGGCACATACCATCAAATCAAGGCTGGATAAGGCAACCCAGTAAGAGGAATAGGGTCCCACAAGCAGACAAAAGAGTCAGAGACAGCCCCCACTCCCACTGTTAGGAATCCTATCCTACAAGTAAACAGAGGACCTGCATCAGACTCCTACAGGCTCCCTGATCTCTGCAACACATAAGTCCCAGTCAGTTGATTCTAAGGGTCATGTTCTCACAGGGTCCCTGACTCCTCTGGTTACTCCAATCCTTTGTCCCCCTCCTCGGCAGCTTTGCCTAATGTTTGGCTGTGGTATTCTGCATCTGCTCCCATCAGTCTCTCTGGTCGCTGATGAGGCTTCAGCTAGGCTCCAGTCTCAGAACACTCTGCAGGCAGTACAAACAGTAGGTCAAAGGTTTTGTGGCTGGGTTGGTGTCTCAATCCCTTTACTTGGGGCCTTGCCTGGTTACAGAAGATGGTTGGTTCAGGCTCCATGACCCCCATTACTAGGAGTCTTTGCTAGGGTTACTCTAATAGATTTCATGGAGTTTCAACTGCACTAGGTTTCTACCTCACCCCTGAATGTCTCCCAATTCTAGTCATTTCTCCTAAGATTTTCTCCCTCCCCCCACCTGATCCTTACTGTTCCCAATCCCACCTGCCCCCAGCTCACTGGTGTAATCTATTCTATTTCCCCATTCCAAGTCACCCCCCTTGAATTCTCCTTGTTACTTAGCCTCCCTGGATCTGTGGATTGTAAAATAATTATCTTTTACTTTACAGCTAATATTCATTTATAATATTTGTCTTTAGCATCTAGATTACCACATTCGGGATGATTGCTTTTATCTAGTTCCATCCATTTGCCAGCAAATTTCATGATGCCATTGTTTTTAACAGCTGAATATTACTCCATTGTATAAATGTACATTTTTTATCCATTCTTCATTATTCAACATCTAGGTTGTTTCTCGTTTCTAGCTATTACAAATAAAGCTTCAATGAACATAGTTGAGCAAGTGTCCTTGTGGTATGTTGGAGCGTCCTTTAGGTATATGCCCAGGAGTGGTATATCTGGGTCTTGAAGTAGATCAAATCCTAATTTTATGAGAAACCATCATATTGACTTCCCAAGTGACTGTACAAGTTTGCCCTCCCCTCGGCAATGGAGGAGTATTCCCCTTGTCCCACATCCTCTCCAGCATGAGCTGGCACTTGTGGTTTTGACCTTAGTCATTCTGATAGGTGTAAGATGGAATGTCAAAGTTGTTTTGATTTGCATTTCCCTGATGGCTAAGGATGTTTGTTGAACAATTCCTGAGTGTTTCTGGGCCATTTGAGATCCCTTTGCTGACAATTCTCTGTTTAGATCTGTACACCATTTTTTAGTTGGATTATTTGGTTTATGAATTTCTAGTTTTTTGAGTTCTTTATATAGTTTGGATATTAGCCCTCAGTCAGCTGTAGAGTAGGAAAACCTTTTCCCATTCTGGCTGCCACACTTTGTTACAACAAAACACCTAGGTTTAGAGAATATGTAAGAAACAAGGTTTGTAATGTAATGGGTGAGGTTCAGATCGGCATTTTGGGAGTTGAAAGTCTAAAATTAGGATTCCTCGCCTGTTCAGGACCTGTAAGGACATTCTGGCAACATCACAATATAGAAGATGGTAACATGGTAGGAGTACATGCAAGAGGAACAGAGCTGTTACATGGCAAGACAGGAAGCCAGATAGGGTCACTGTTGCCCTCTCATGAAAAATAACTGAAGGTCCTAAAAGAATTACATTAATGCCTATTAAGGACAATGCTACCAGTATCTTGTTGTGTGAAGTTTTACTCTTTTTTTGGCTGGGGGGGGGCACCACCCAGTTCCCAAATAAATCAAACACAGAGTCTTATTCTATCTTATATATGCCCGGCCTTGGCTTGGCTTGTTTCTAGCTAGTTTTTCTTATCTTAAATTATCCCATCTACCTTCTGCCTCTGGGCTTTTTCCTTTTTCTACTTCTGTGTATCTTACTTTCACTCTTCCTCTGTGGCAGCTGTGTGGCTGGGTGGCTGGCCCCTGAGTACCGAATTCCCTTCTATTCAGACAATCTTGTAAACACTCCACAGCCTTTCAACATAGCCAGACTACTAATCACACTTCCAACACATGAACTTTTGAGAAATACATTCAGATTATGTGCAAAGTACAAAGCCAACCAAAATCTTACAAAGAGTAGTTTCTCAAAGATTGGTAGCAATGTGTAAATCAGAAACTGTATCAATGACCCTTTCATATCTTCAGTCACAAATT